AACCACAGGCATTCATTTAACCAACCTTGCATTCAGCACGAGCTCACCCACCCAAAGTTGCCGTCTGTCTCTTTTCCGCTGTTTCGGTCTGGCCTGTTCCCGCTGGTTCAGCGCTTCCTCTTGAGCCTTCAACCGCTCCAAGAGCCTCCCGATCAGATCCAGGCTGATGCAAAAAAAAGAAAACAAAACACTGTTGCAGTTTCATTCATGGAGACTTTTGAAGCACGGACTGGGACAGCAATCAAGGTAATATGGGTAAGGTTCGAAACTTTCTTAACAACCAGAATCTAGAACCTCTTTTCCTCAATGCCACCCGCTCGAAGCGCCCAAAGTCCTCTCGGAAAACATGCATGGGATGGCTGAAGCTCTTCCTCTCGCGCTTGCTGCTTGCGAAGCTGACGCTCCTGCAACACATGCTCTTTCAAAGGGCATGTTCCGAGAGCCTCCTAGTAAGCCATGTGTAGAAGTGTAGAACCCAAACACAGTGTCTGAGGGCATATGCCTTTTGTGAAACGAGCATCAAATCCTCCAAAGGTTGTTTGAAACCATTTCTTTCTTCTCAACAGCTGAAACGTGGTTGTGGCTGCTGGACACGCACCTGAAGCTGCATCTGGATGTATTCATGGCTTGCTTTCCTTAGACGGATGTTTTGCTCAATCGTTCACATAAACTGCGAATGTTGAATCAGTCTCCTGCAGGATAGCAATGCAAGATCCCACAGCTGCACATATTCTCCGTCATCTTTTGAGTAAAGCGACTTTCTGATGTGCAATTTTATCAAAAAACGAAATCATAAAAGTTCTAAAGTTCCCCAGCTCACCTGTTCGTCTCGAGGCAACTAGGAGCAAAGAAGCTACGTACTAGTAACAAAGGGCATCGCTACTAGGAACAAGGACGCTACTAGGGGCTCCTGGTCTTAATACTAGGAACAAGGACGATACTAGTAGCAAGTAACTAGGTGGCCCTAAAGGAAGTCTGTCGTTGCAGCTTCCGAACATCGCTCCAGCACAGCCACTCAGCGATGGAGCTAAGGCCAGGGCTTGGCTTCCTGCTTGTCGGATCATTTGTCAACTTAAACAAATTAACTCGACCTTAGTAGCGTCCTTGTTACTCCTTTGCTCCTAGTAGCTTCTTGCTCCTAGTAGTAAGGCCAGGAGCCCCTAGTAGCGTCCTTGCTCCTAGTAGGACTTGTTTGGTTCCTTTTCTCTTTACTCTTAGCTCCACATGCCCTGTTAAGAACCCAGTATTGAAGACTCCTACAAATTCCAACTAGCGCAAAGAGTGGACTGACATGACTCACGTAAGATTTATTCAAACTCCGGAGGAAGCTCGTTCTGATTGTACATAATATGAGCTGGGGAACAAATGGGGTGATTGTTCATGCTTGTGTGCGTGTGCGGTTCCTTACCTTCATCCTCTTCTCTCGCATCTCCATCTTCATCCTCTCCTGCAGGTGGAGTAGCCATGAGGCTTCTCTCAGCGTAGGTCGATAATGCCAAGTTGACCTGTTCCGTAGTTTCTTTGGCTTCATGTGCCACGACTTGCCGTCACTCACGAAGTTTGTGTCCCAAATCTCCCTCGCCTTCTCTTCCGCTATCTGCTGATACCTCTTTGCACCTGGAAACATCAGTGAATTTCGCCTAGTAGGTTGCTTTTATTGTCGTCCAACTTCAGAATACCAGGTTCAATCAAAAACTGGAGCAATCTTCAAACTTGTCTCAAGTGTTCAATCTTATGCTAGTAACCCTGTTCAATACTGTCAATACCTTTTCTGACCGCTATGAGCATTGCTCAATGCCCACAAAGGTTTCAGCGACATCGAGCGCTCAAAAGTGAAGGTCGCAAGGCAGTGCAAGCTTAAATGGCATGTCAGATGCTCTGTTGGAAAAGCATTCTTGTTGGTGGCAACGAATGTTCTGACTGGTAGCAGATCTAGTATGGTTCAGGCCTTGGGTGGGAAAGGAACCTCGTTTTGAAGTTGCTTTCTTGTTTCCCGCTCTGCCTCGCTATGATTCAATTAAGTAGGCGCCTACTTAATTAAGTAAGGGAGTAAGCTCCTAGCTACTTAAGCTTCTAGGTAAGACGCAGGATAGCGCTCGCACCGGTGAATTTAAGGGAAACCTAACTCTCCCAAAGTGACTAGGCAAGTGCAAAGGATCTCCATAGCTGGCTTGCGAGATTTTGAGACATGCCTGGGTATTGGAATAGCGCGATGCGATCAAGGTGTGCATTCACAGGTGGACATTGGAATGTTGGTAATGAAGCTTCTTCAGCACATGTCCAGTCCTTCAAGCTATCTCAAACACCAACCAGTGCCTTACTAGTAGTAACAAGAAGCTATTAGAAACAAGTGCCTTACTGCTAGTAACAAGAAGCCATTAGGTTGGAGTCCATTGCTATTAGGTTGGAGGCCATCTCGAAGCCACTGACCGTCACTGACCACTAGAACAGTAGTGTGATTACTACTCATCTGAGGCCCGGACGCTCTTCGTCCTCACGCATCTTCTTCTCCAACTCATTCCCCACCCCGGCCTCGTACCTGGCAGCGAACACAGCATTCTAGTTTCTACGCTTGACATGGAAAGAAGAAAAGGAAAATAAAAAGACCCGTCACCTCCCACAACATTTTTACTTTGGCGCTTTTCATCCGTTATAGCTAGCTACCAACCCCACCCTCTCCTCCTCAACAAAGCCTCAAGGTGATAGCATCCAAAAAGGACACCTGCAAATAGTGTTCACAACAGGTATCAAGAAACCATAATCAAAACTCAAAACACAGTGGTACCCTCATAGCCACATTTGTCGGGGCCCAATACTCTCTCTCTCTCGTGGTGGCACGCGGCCAGCATCTTTGACTGCTTGTCCCTCATCTGCCTTAGGACCAAAGAGCTTTGCCAACGACCCATTCTGGTGGCACTCAAACATACTCATTTACCCTCTCTCTCTCTCTTTCGCGCTCTCTCATTCTCTCTCTCTCTCTTAGGTTGGAGGCCGTCGCACACTTTAACTTTTAGCCATCTTTGTTCTTTAGACCTTTCTCACATGCCGCTCTCTGAGGCTCTCACTGAAAATACGCTGCTCGATCTGCTTCCTGCTTCTCCAGCATCTCCTTTGGTGTTGCTTCGATGGCTCAGTTTTGTCTTGCAAGGGAATAAACTCTGATCAGTTTTCATCAAACTTCTCTACATCCACTCTCTTATCAAAAAAATTAACAATTTAAGAGTGACATCTGTAGTTCTCAGCTACTGTCGGAGCATTCATATAAACCGAATGGACTTTGCCCAAGGAAACGCTGATGCGTTGAAACGACTTGCGTGCTCTGTGACCCAAAGGGGTGAGCGTACTGAATGAAAGGTCTAACAACTGAAACACAACTTACCTCGGCCACGCCTGTTGCCTCTGAGCCAGGAGGATGTCTCTCTTGAACTGGCAAGTTTCGTCCCGGGAACGTCTGTTGTGAACCCTATGGATGGAGTTTGGCTCGGAGGGGAGACTGTCCATTATGAAAACCAACAAAACAAGAACTTATTATAGTAGTAACAGGTGCCACGCTAGTAGTAACAATGTTTGCTATTAGTAACAAGTGCCTTACTAGTGGTAACAAGTGCCACGCTAGTAGTATAGATCTTTTGGAACCCTTTGTGCTATTAGGTTGGATCGCTAGTAGGTTCGAGGCCATCGCTACTAGGAACCGTTTGATGGTTGTTGATGGTTGTTGATGGTTCTCCCAACACTTTGATGGTTCTCCTATTCTGTTCACCCAAGCCCTTGTGTGATTAAGTTTCCCTAGAAATCTAGAAACCAAAGCATTAGTGCTTACGCTTCTTCAAGGAAGCTCCCCCCCGCCGCCCTAAACTCAAGCCCTTGCTCGATGGCTCGATGGCTTTGGGTGATCTTCATTGCGTTGCGCGTGAAGTTCAAACAACTGTTTGTCGGCAAAGTAGTCATGTTCGGGGTGTCAAATGCTTGCAAAGAAACTTTGATCCCGGATCCTCAATAAAACCAATGGCCACTGCTAAATCTAAATGCGACTAAAGTGCCCTGCCTGTCTTTGGCAAGCAAAAGCTTCTTTGAGTGGAAATGGTTCCCGCATCACGACATTTAGGTAAAACACTGCCATGCCTGACATTCTTCTCGTGAACTGATGGTCTCATAGTCTGCCATCTGTATCACTGCGTCTTCCGATATTGAAGCAAAGAATAACAATTTGCTCACTCTTCATGACGGGACATGTGGGGTCCACTCTTCGGAAGGCGCAAATTCTCCCAGCTTAGAGTCTTTGAGCTGGATGTGAAAGCTAAAGCCTAAAGCCTACTCGGATCTACTCAGCACGCACCCAAAATTCCAGATCCAACGAAGCACCCGTCGAACCACTTTTTCTATGGTGCGGGAAGACACGCATGTCTGGCACATAGTATGGGTGGGCTTGGTACAGAACTGGTCTGTGGCCGACGGTGGTGATACAACTCTTAAACAGTTCGCAGGTCCAGCGGTGGCTCAAACACCAGTGCAATAAAGCTAGTAGTAGCAAGAAGCTACTAGGAGCTCCTGGCATCGCTACTAGGAGCAAAAAAGCTAGTTTGCCAGATTGTCAGTGCTTGGAGCGAAGCTGGAAACGCTCATTTGTATCCACGCTTCGGATCGGTGGACTCCGTGGCATCTGAGTCCTCCCAAAAGGTTGAAAAAAGATTGACTCATAGCGATGCCAGGAGCCCCTAGTAGCGTCCTTGCTCCTAGCGATGCCCTTGTTACTAGTAGCGATGCCCTTAGTTACTAATAGCTTCTTGCCACTAGTAGCAATGCACCTGTTACTAGGTAGCGATACATTCTCTTCATCCATTGCTTTATCCCTTGGTGGTGTCATACAGTGCCAATACTGGAAGTGCCAATACGTGCCAATCAAAGCTTCTTACCTCTCTCAGACCTCGCAGAAGAAAATTTCTACCAACACAGAAAACGCAGAACATTTCTACCCTTTCAACGGCCAAACCAGGTCCACTTCAGGTTGTCAATTTCAGCTCCTTGGTGTACTGGCTCACGCCCTGCAGGAAGTTTTGTGATCAGTTGTTCTTGAACCGATGCTGGCTTTTGCTATCGACCCTGATTGGCAAGGCGCCTCTGAAGGGAGTACAGTGGGGGGTGCTTGAGAAGACAAGGCACTGATCCCTCGTTGAACGCATCCACTATGTCTTGAGAACCTCTGTCCAACTTCTGCGAATAAACAAGGTTGCGATTGCCCTTTATGTTGAAGATCACACTCTGGAACCATCGAACATGGCTTTCTGCCGCCACGCCTCCATGTGCGACAGGAACACTGCGGGGTTGTCCTTGGACAAAATCCGTGTCTCCGCCTGAGTCGAGAGGCCACACGGTGGCCACAGATCTGATTGAACCAGTTGACAGTCTGAACAGTTTCAGACTTGTACAACTTTGTTGACTCAAGTTGATCTCTTCACTCTCGCCGAGTGGCCGATAAGTCTGATCTCATCTGCTTGGAGAGGCAGAAAATGCCTCAGGTCATGTTCTCTTTTTCCTTCCACGGACCGTTCGAAAACAGCATTGGCAAGAAGAACGATTCAGGGTGCTTAATTACCACCCTTAGTCCACGAAAAACGGAAATGGTACGGTGACCGTGCTCGGACCTTCGGAGCTCTTGCATCGAGGGCACCGGTGTAGCTCTCACCATCGAGGAATTGGAGGGATCCCGTGATCCGCTCGGCAATCCGACGGTCCACCTGCCCATGAGATGATGAAGACAAGAAGAGCCCTAGAAGCGTCCTTGTACCTAGTAGTAAGGCCCTTTGTTACAAAGTGTCTTTTCTGTTTTTGAAGCAATGTAGATACAGCAGTTTATCAAAGGTTTCGCATCTCCATGTGACCCTTCAAATCTTTGAGCCTCCTCGGGTGTGATAGAGGCAGTGCTAGGGTCACTGTGGCCAATCACGAAGCCCCACCTCAACTGTGACCAAAGGCACAATACTTTTGTGCTAGTCCTCCAGTTTTTGATGTCTGCTACATCTACAATCTCTTGCCTCAAAGAGTTAGGACCCCAAGTTTGACAAACAGAAAGAGAGCTGACAAAAAGAATGTAAGGGCCCCTTGAGGGAACCTCAATCTGCATGGAGATAATGCAACTCAGGCCTCTTGGTCTGTGCGAAAGGCCTTCACCAACACAATAGAAAAGATGCTTGGTGAGTGCATGTCTTTTCGTCAACCTCTGTGCCCCCAAGCGGAATATCGATTCCAGGTGAAATTCATTTTATCGGACCGTGCTTTGAAACCCCAAACAGCATCGTCTGAAGAGGTCTTTTCAACCTCGTCTGGCGGAAGTCGTCGAGACAATGTTGAAAGGCTTCAAGGCATCCAGCTACTAGGAACAAGGACGCTACTAGGAACAAAGGGCATCGCTACTAGGAGCAAGGACGCTACTAGTGTGAGTTTGGTTGTTTGGCGATCCCTGTGAGGTAATCAACTGCTTGTCGGACAATCAGCCGAGAGATGACCACCATTCTGACCAAAAAGTAGCATGTCAAAATCATTTTGAAGGGAAAGACGTCTTGTCTGTTGGTTTTCAGGAAGGTATTCCTAAGATCCATTCTTACGTTCTTGTTTCTCGCTAGTAGGTTGGAGGCCATCGCTATTAGGTTGAAGGCCATCGCTACTAGGGTGGAGGCCATCTCTAGTAGTGTCAGTTTGGCGGCGAGCTTTCAATTTTCATCAAATGTTCGCTCAAGGCACTCATCGGCAAAGGAATAAACTGCTTCCTTGTAGGCGCGCGCCGCCGGGAAGACCTCTGAGAGAAGCGTCGATGACGAAGCAGTCTTGCTCGTTCTTGTTGCCATTAGAAATGCAAACAAATCTCCTTTATAGATCTTCTAGAACTAACTTTCGTAAATTTGAAGACCTAAGGTCAACTGGTGGGAAGTCAAGAAAGTCAAGTCCATCGCCTACTTAGGCGGGGTTGCCTTGCAATACCAGGATTTCCCCGAGAGAAGGATTTCTTGGGGAGCTGTCGGGAATCCTCCCAAATCAGACAACGACGGAATCATGAAGTCTTTTTCGGACAAACATGTTTCATTCGGAATCGATTTTGCCTTGTTTGTGTTTGTGTTCTCATAGAATGCGTGTGCATGGCCCTCGCTCGACACTGCTTGTTTGGAACGCAGAATTGCAATCTGGGCCCTGGGAACGTTGCCCTTACTCAGGGACATGGGCCGCATGCTGAACTCTATGATTTTCCGATACATTCTACGACAGGATCAGCCAGCATGCACAGCTATGGCGATGCCCTCAGCCTCAGAACGCAGGCGGCCGTGGCCGCTTACATTTCGGGCAATTGGGGATCTCAGCTTCGATCATTGTCCCGATGCAGCGGCCACACATCATCACCCCACAGCACTGTGAAGGATTCATTCCTGGGGCCTTTCTCTTGCAAAGCAAGCAGCAAGGGCGAGAAGGCTCGGGCTCTTCTGGCTCAATTGACTGAACAGGCCCAGGCTGAGCCTCGGCTGGCAAGGCGGCCGTAGTAGCTGCAACTGTGGCACCAGCAGCTTGGGGATTGGCGCTCAGCGCTGTTGCCAGCTTTCGCAGGACACACTTTAGCAAGACTTTTTGCCCCATATCTGTGGCAATACTTTTGGCAGCAAATACAAAAGATCCTCCATTCAAATAGGCACCGGACAGACTCAGCAAGGCTTGGCAGGCTAGTGTTTCGAGTAGGTGCCAACTGTGATACCAGAGGCCCCCAAGACCTGCAACGCATTTGTCAGCATTCCAGCACCATTGCCAAACTGCGCCAGCTCTTCTGCTGATAGCTTCCCATCACCATTGCTATCCAGCTGAGCCACAATGCCTCGAAGCTCCTCACTGGAGATGATGCCATCACCATCTGCATCACCTTTTTTAAACAGCTCTGACAGCTGCTTTTTACTCAGCCCACCCAACAATTGTCCCATCGCCTTGTCGAATTCTCTCTCATCAAGAGCAGAATCTCCGTTTTCATCACCAGATTCAAGAAGGCGATCAGCCAAGCTCTGCCTTGCAAGCTCTGTGGCTTGCGATAGCTCCTCCGAAGAAATGGCACCATCGCGGTTCTTGTCCAAGCGTTTGTGCAACTCGGCCAACTCCTCCTTGCTCATCACTCCATCTCCATCAGAATCACCACAAGACATGAACTTTTGCAGGTCTTGCTCACTCCACTGGGTGTCTGCCAGCCCTGGCCAAGCCTTGCTGATCCCAAAGGACTTCTCAATCTCTGCAGCAGAGAGGTCTCCGCTCTTGTCCTCATCTGCTGCGTCAAAGATTCTCTGTTGATCACTACGTGACCAATCTCCGAGGGGGGTAACAAACTGTTCAAATTCCTGGCGGTCAATGTTGCCGGAAGCATCTTTGTCGGCTGCAGCCCTCATGAGGTTTACCACAGCTCCCATGATGGACAGTCTGCACAGAATGCCTTGGAAAGAATGTGAAAGGCTCTTGAGCACCTCGCACTTTCAGCACTGCACTTAGATACAGAAGAACTGCAGGACTTTCGACCACAAGTGCTAGAAACACGGAGCATAGTCACCGTGAAGTAGATTAGACAGAAGCGACACCAACACGTAAAACGCGTTCTCTGAAACATTGTAAATACATGTTATTCTGACCACACCTGCACAATCACATCACCTGCTCCAAACTATGCAACTAAAAGCCTCCCACAACTCTGACCCAAGCCAACATATCCTCTTCTCCGGGCAATGTCATGTTCAGCGTGTTTTTCTTCAACTGTTACCACACTTCTTGAAGAAACAAGTCAACCCGCTTTCAAGACGCTTCCCAAACCCTGCCTGCTTCAGGGTGTTCAGCACTGGTGATAGGACTGCCTTTGCCAATGCAGTCCGCTCTAGACACCGTGCTCTCCTAGAGGCCGGCACGATTATACTCTGTGACGTTTCCTCTACTTCACAGACTGGAAAAATGCTCAGACTGAAAAGCATCCCTGACTTGACCATACCGCTCTTTGTCCTGTTTTCACCATGTCGGCTGAAACATGTGAACACTCAACCTCACTTATTGTGCTATTCGGCAGAACCGCGCTTCCTCACCCCACACATACCTCACAATAGAGGATGGAGGGGGAACACTGCACCTGCTCCGTTTCTGAGAACTTTGCATCGACACAAACGACCATCGACACAGTACCGGCCTGTCCAAGGCCCTCTCCACACCCTTCCACACCGGCCTTGTACATCTTCACACCCGCTCCACTGGCCTTTCATGACTGCGATCGGTTTTGGCTCCATCTACCCTTTGTTATGAAGAAGAATGCTACCAAACAACAGCCTGGACCTTTGTCTTGGTTGCCTGCTACTTACTGCCAAGCATGCTTCTTTAAAAATTTTTACCAAACAACCCTACTGACTACCACTAGGAGCAAAGGGCATCGCTACTAGGAGCAAGGATGCTATTCGGGGCTCGTCTGAGGTCTCCGTAAGCTTCGAGTTGTACCGCAGGCCTGGGTGACCAGGATTCCACCAGGGTTCAGCTTCTCCTTGCACATCTCGTAGAACTCCTCTGGCAAAAAAGAAAAAACAATGCCAGCATAGACCACTCCTTGAATGTTGTTGGAACGGTATGTAAACAAAACCTGTTAGAAAAGAGTTCCTGATTCCCAGGGTCACGTGTGCAAACACGAAGGGATATATGTCACGAGAAAATCCAAAAGACGATATCCAACTCGAAACCCTGCATCATTGCTGCACTTACAGCCACACGAAAACATACCTCGACAAGGCGGTGGATGTTTAGTGGCCAAAGCCAAGCAGGGGATATGGCTAGGACAAGCAGGACAGACAAGCATTGAACAAGGCCTGGACAAGGCGGTGAGGCCAACACCGGGACAAGGACAACACAGGGCCCACAGAGCCACACAAGTACGAGGCAACTCTTTGGGGAACAAGAGAGCAGGACAACAGTGAACTGTTTGGGAACGAGAACTGGGGAGTACGACGACGCAGTACGCTACGCTTATAGGCGATGCTACAGCCATGTCGATGTCGGCACCATCTTCCACGCTTGATGGTTTTCCTATCGCCATTCTCTTAAACTCGGTGTGTGACTTGCGCGTGGATGGCATGGCCCACGCAGGATGACCATGAAATGATGTACAAAGCAATGGTGTCATCCACTCCATTGATTCTTTGAAGGTGTGATCAAGATTTGTGGGACCTGTGGCCCAAGATTGATGTGTCTTTTAGCCTGCCCTTACTCAATTTACTCAATTAAGTAGGCGCCTACTGAATTAAGCTAAGTAAGCAACTAACTAGGTCCGCTATGGCCGTGGTGCAAAATGACAATTCTGATCATCAAAACTTTTGGATGCACGTGATTTGCTTGGGGAAGGTTCGTTCAGCGTTTTCAAGGATTTGAATGGCGTAATTACAATGAAAAACAATGTTCCTGTGCATCTCCCAGTAGAACTGACACTTCAACAGTCAGTTCAAGTTGCCCCCAACTATCGAGCTTTTGGACGCTTTAAGGGTTATTTGGGGTCTATTGCCACACAAATTCCTTTTCATTCTTCTGACGTGCGTCAGCTACACTTTCCTCATGCATCGTAGACAACGATGTCTTCAAGTTACATAGACATGATGCGAAGATCATCCGTCTACTAACAACAGAAGACATTAGATACCCAGACCATTATGAGCCTACCAACTAGGTCGCTGATTCTTTTTGTGAAATCGATGACCATGTCCAAAAAGGCACACGACACCACGGCCCGTTATGGCTGGTGTTCCAACTACCGGACGCAGGAAAGCGCTCGCACTATTCCTGTGGTTCCTAGATTCTTAGGGAAGCTTGCATTCTCATCTCTTTTCATCTCTTTTCTCTTTGATCGGTGTGTTCCTTTTGTATGGTTGGGATTTGCTTCACATTTTTCGAAAGATCTCTTTCTTCCTTTCTGTAAAGGAATGCTACCAATACTACTGCTGCTACTGCTTTCAAGCGTGCTTTCTCTGCATGGCTGGAGTATTCCTTCATGGCAAGTCGCCAACTTACCGAATCTTACCGAGCCAAATCTTGGGCCCAATCACTTCGTGGTGTTCTTGAATGAGGTCCTTAGGTGCTTTTTGTACAGCCAAGTTCCCAACAATATCTGGATGTCTTCGATGAGTTTGGTAGGTGATTCGCAGACTTGAGTTGGCTACATCACACACCAAACGGCATGCGTCCTTGCAGTAGAGCCAATAGCATGGACCCCCTTCCAAGGGATCATCTAAATCCATGATGATCACATCAAATTTCTCCTCACTGTGCAGCTGCTCGTGCTGGTGGCACTTTGCACAAAGCTTTTGGAGGGAAGAAAGTCCAAGAACGACCAGTATGGATGCATTGAAAATCAAACCCCACAGAGCCTCTGAAATCTGTATCAATCGTCTGTTTAGCTGTTTGGACCAATGAAGCAAGTTGCTTTAATTGTCTGCAAACTGGACGAAACGGAGCAGGATAAAAACAAAGCTCAGGCGCTCCGAAGGCTGCCAAGCGTCTTTGGCTTGCTCCAACTGGATTTTACAATCATCGATGATGAGATCCAGTCGAGGATCTTTAAAAGCCTCTTTGTTTGCCAGCAGGTGCTCCTCAGGGTCAGAGTGGGCATGTCTCGATAATTTGAAATCCCTTCAGAAAAGAAAGAAATACAACCAGTTCGCCCATGCGCACATCACTTGGTGTTTGCAACACTCAGCCACTCAGCTCCACAAGTTGAAAGCACGAAAGGAAACAATATCTATAATATCTCTGCTCTTCTTGGGTCCAGTTCAGGCAGTTTCAGGGCAGGGATGCTGTCTTGGCGTTGCGGCGTGTACTGTGACAATGACCTTCGCTTCTCTTTCTCTTGTTCCTTTCCTTTCCTTCTTTCTTTCTCCACGACTCTAAGCACTTGAGCTAAGTCCTTGCAAAAATCCACCACATCTCCATCGATGTCAACCATCACCTCAGAGCGGTTAAGCGTCAGTCCCAGCTTTCAATCTGGTGCTACACACTCTTTTCGGTCCAAAAGGTCTGAAGGGCCTTACTACTAGGAACAAGTGCATCGCTACTAGAAACAAGTGCCTTACTAGTAGTAACAAGAAGCCAGTAGAATTAAAGTAATTAAATTAGAATTTAATTAAAATTAGTAAAGGCTACTAGTTGGAACGAAAGAAAGGTCCAAAAGGTCTGCAGAAATCACGGCGGCTTTGTGCTGTCTTTTTGCTATGCTTTTGGGATTGACCGCCTTGCAAACCCTGCAGCCCTCCTGAGGCCCTGGACACATTTCTCAACGGATTTGTGTCTCAAGACTTCTCGCGCAGTGCTGCCTTCGCCTCCACCGCCTGGAAAAGGCAAAGGACAACAAGGCTAAACGATGTGCACAGCCGACAGGCCGACAGGGCATGCTCCCATTGCGGCCGAGCCACCAATAAAAACCTTGGTAAACAAAGCAAGGTTGAGATGGCTGAGACTCTGCGATGAGAACTACACACACCTTTCTTAACTTTGAAGATTTCTCCGCTTTGAGACACCAACAATATATGCCACGGTGAAAAGACAATATTCAAACAACAACCTTGCAAGTTTCAGAAAAAAATCAAAATAGAACAGCTACAGCTGCAGCCATGAACGCCCCAGAATTGATAATTTCACACAGATTGTTTCGTGAAGGTTACTGGAACCGGTTCGGTCCAAACCCAAATCGACAGGGATCGGAATGCCAAACACTCAACATTCATGAACACTAGCACAAACATTCTCCTCTTGCGGTCTTCCTTTTCGCTTTCAGCCTTTCAGCTTTTTACTTCCGATTCTTCATTCCAACTGAGGTGGAAAACGCTCCAAGCACATCGAGTGGCGCGCTTGGGGTTGGGATGTGCCAACATGGCCGGATGCACCAGGCACTCGTGGTAGATGAACTCGTCCAGCTCGGAGGACTCAGAAAAGAGGGGAAACACGATCAGTCTTTCGTTCCAACTAGTAGCCTTTACTAATTTCAATAAAATTCTAGTTTAATTAATTTAATTCTACTGGCTTCTTGTTACTACTAGTAAGGCACTTGTTTCTAGTAGCTTCTTGTTACTCACAGCAAAGGGGACCACTTTTGGATCTGGGGCCATAGCTCTGTTGGCCCATAGTACACGAATGTGTACACGCATGCGTATTGTGTTTCATTCTCTTTACACATTCGATTCATTCTCATTCTCATATTTTCTTCAAGCCAAGCTGATCAGCTTCTTGGCCTGGATGAGGCCATCAATGATCAGCACCTTTCCAAAAGGCACGGTATCGCACACATCCACCTGCAGGTTGAACTCGACCGAGTGAAAACGTAGATGGATACATTGGATGTAATCGTCAATCTGCGCAGGGATAGGCTAGCCATTATCAAGCCATACATACGCAATACCTCATCTTCCACAAGAAAACGCTCAGTCGGCCATGTTCGGACCACAAAGGATCTTGGATAGAGCTGCAGGCCAAACAAACTGAGGACCCCAGTACTGTCAGTGTAATCTGTCAGTGTAATCTGCTACCAATGACACCGATTTGACGGAGTAGCTCCACGCCTGCTGGAACTTGGATTGCGTGGATGCCAAGATCTTGTTCAGCCTCAATCTCTCTCCACTCGCCTGCCGAGCCTGCTGGGCCTAGTTGGTCAGAAAGTAGAAGCAATAGGACCTAGTTACTAGCTAGTAGTAATGCCCTTGTTACTAGTAGCGATGCACTTGTTACTAGTAGCTTCTTGATAGGCCCTTGTGGATCTTCTTTTTAAAGTGGCAGGTCTCTTCATACCATTGCAGCCATTAGACTGCCTGCTTTACTTGACAGGGCTGGAGTGTAAAACCAATGAGCTCCTCCAACTGGGTGTGAACATGCAAAAAGCTCTCTCCATGTGGGAATTGTTTCACCTGTAGTAACAAGAAGCTAGTATTAGGACGCTATTAGGTGGAGGCCATCGCAAGTATTGTTACTACAGATGAAACGATTCCCATTGAAACGATTTCCAAGGAAGCGTGGTGATCTAAATTCCTTTTTACGGAAGCGCAATTCTTTGAAAACATATCTTTACTCTTGGGAATCTTTCGCGAATTGCATGTTTAACTCTTGAGGGGATATACCCTACAAGCCTTCTTGGTTTGGTTGTTTCCACATACTAATGTTTCGGCAAATCTATGATTACTTTCGGAAAAAACTCAAAGAAAAACTTTTCCGAACAACAACATAAACGGTTCTCAATGAACCTAGGCCTTATGTCGACCTTTTGATCAACTACCATGTCTTTAGGGGCTTGATGGCCAAGCGGCTTGTAGCTGAAACGAAGACCCTCTTCCAGGTCCTCTGCTGGAACGCTCCCAAAATAGTTCAGTATGCTCTTCCAGTGAGGATGTCCTTCTTCCCGAAGTGTCCAGCTGTGATACAACCAAGATGAACAAGATCAGTCCATATAGAAGCATGGTCTAGGACAACATCGAATGTATGAAAACGCACTGAACACCGTGCCGGGATGTCTTGGGATGACGTGTCGAGAAGCCGGGCGTCCTCAATGATCCACTTTGCCATGGCGCGCCAGGCTCAGTGCAGGAAAATCTGGTTGCGGTGTCTGAGCGCTCAAAAGTGGCTGCGGTGTCTGCGGACGTCATCTTGTTCCTGTCACGTCACGCACTTCCTGTTCAAGCAGGCATGGACTCTACTAGGAGCAAATGGCATCGCTACTAGGGGCTCCGGGCTCCTGGCATCGCTACTAGTAACAAAAAGCTATTAGAAACAAGAAACAAATAGAAATATAAATAAATATTGCAAGAAGGCCATGCGGTTGGGTGCATGCTTATTCAAGGTGGTTGTTAATCTGGGCAAAGATTACGAACGTTTCCACTTTCCAAAATCTATCCCTCTCGGGTGGTCTCAAATGTGCCTCTTCTTCTCGCTTCTTTGCCTTCTCAGCCTGTGCGATCTTAGCTTCATCGATCATCCGCAAAGCCTCACGGCTCAAAGAGCTGTCGATTGGGACTCGGATTCCTCAGACCTGTTTTTCTCTCATCTTCATGTCCTTCAGGAGCAAGAAGCTACGAGTACTAGGGGCTCCTGGCATCGCTACTAGGAGCAAGGACACGGCCTTATTACTAGGAACAAGAAGCTACTAGTAACAAGAAGCTACTAGGAACAAGTGCATCGCTACTAGTAACAAGTGCCTTACTAGTAGTAACAATAAGCTATTAGAAACAAGAAGCTACTAACAATCTCTCATCTTTTTTTGGACTAAAAGTAGTAACAGGTGCCACGCTAGTAGTAACAGGTGCCTTACTAGTAGTAACAAGAAGCTATTAGGAACAAGGTTCCAATTCAACCGACCCATCGAGCTGTGGCCGCTGTGGCTGTGGCCTGGGCGCGTTCCTTCAGCCGCCTTTCATGTTCCAAGCGCTCCGCCTGAAGTGCACGGGTCACACGGGCCAGGTCCACGGGTGAAGCGGGTCACGTGAGAAGCGTTGGTGTTGCACGTTGTGTTCAGGTTTTTGCCACTGGCTAGGTACATGACGGCCTTGACAGTAAAAACGTTTTGCGAAAGAACGTTGATAAGAACAACTGTGCATCTGTCATCCACACCTTCTCCCGCTCTGCAGTGGCTTGACGTAGCTGCTTTTGGCCTCACACGCCCGGCTCTGACAAAGTGAGCTGTGATATGCTGTGATGCCAACTGGACCCCTGAACCCTCACTCAGGATGGACTGGAGGTGGCCGAGTACTTGCGCAAGCTGATATTTTTCCCGAAAAGCATTCCCCATTCCGGTAAGACGAAAAAACAAGACCATGTCTTTATATCACAAGGCCGCCAAAACAAGAATCCTAGTATTGACCAACAGCCATGAGTGAATGGCCAAGCCCAGGTTGTTGGCTTTGATTCTTTGATATGCTTCCAGTATTGTGTTTGCTATAGTTAAGTTTCTTTAAGAATCTAGGAACCAAATGAATAGTAGGAGTGCTTCTTCAAGGAAGCTTCTTCAAGGGGGGAGC